GTTGCCTATCCCTACACTTTCCTATTCAATGTCTAGTTTTGTTACATCACGTACGTAGCCATGGATCAACACCTTTGTACATAGAGATCACGAGAGAGCATGACTAATACTCATTCTTTGTTTTTAATCGGCTAACCGAAGCTTGGCACCTTATCGTCCAATCAGAAGTTGACATGGATGAGAACAACTTTTGGGAAATTAAGGAACTGTGAAATTCAATGGAAACGTCTGCTCTATTCATATCATTGTATGAAAATTCTACTAACAGTCCTTCATCAGCTTAAACGAAATATCTGATTTACTGGTAGTCTCGAAACTCTACATATATACAATAATAAAAAAATATCACTATATATATATATATATATAATATAATAATATATTAACAGTTATTATGATGTCATAATTACATGTAGTATTAAAAGTTCTACGTTATTATTACATCTGATATAACAATAATAAGTAATAGTATTTCATTTTATTATAATATATAACAATTGCATGCAAAATTACATAATAAATGTAAATATTTACTTACAAGCCCTTTTATGTGCACTGAATAAGATAAGTAATGAAATGATTTGTTTAATTCCATTTGATGCCCCTCCAAGTTTTGGTATATTTAATTGCATTTGAATGTGATTCGATGCGATTTCGTTAAGGTTACAATACGGCATGCCATTTCTGTGTGTAGCTACAGAACAGGCATGTCTGCCGTTGCATAATCCGAAGCATAGAAGGAATGGGAAAGTAGTTAGACACCTGGTTGAGTCGATTAGATGTATTGCCTGCATCTTATTGGTATCACGCTACACTCTATCCTTAAGTAATTCAAGTCAAAAATAGGACGATCTGCATACTTTATTTCTTCCGCTTACTACATCCCCTTTACGTTATGCTTGGCACATTAGACCAGTTTTTGTGGTTGGCTCAGCCCCTTCCGAGCATTGAATTTGACATTCCAACTCATTATTTGTGTATGAAATCTTAGTCAGATTATGTCGAGTAATGCGATTTAAGGACTGATGGCAGATACTGTCATACAATGATATGAGTAGACCTCACGATGCTATCGAATTTCACTTTGTCTTTCCTCCCAACTTTGCTGTCTCATCGCGACCATACAGAACTGTACTTTCGACCTCACCCCACCGCTCGATTAATATCAATCATGGGATTCGTACTCTGTTCTTCTGCGTAAAATGGCAAGGCGTTGACGACCTGCCGAGCGCCAACACGATCGTGTGACAATTGGTGACTTTTGAAAATCACAATTTTCGTATTTAATTGTTCTCGATGAAGAAAAGCATGTAGTTGTGAATGCAATCAAAGAGGGAAAACTGGTTGACTTACAACTCTACAGCCGATTGAAGCAAATCGTCTGGCAAAGGCATGCGATGCGCTCTGAAGATACAGTGAATTTGATTTTGAGTGAGTTCACCCGACTTTTCCACGTCCTCCTGCTGGCAGGCCTGCAGCAGTTCCCTGAACTCCTCAAAACCACACTTTCGGAGGCGCTGTTGAGCCAGGCCAATTAGAACCTCGTAGTTGGCAGACATGGGCTCTCTGGTTGGAATTTTCATTCAGCAAGGCATCGAATTGTATATATATATATGTGTGTGTGTGTTTTGTGTGTAAGAGAAAGCGAGGACAGGAGAATGATGAACTTATAGAGTCATCTGGTTGGCATGGCAGAAATTATGCATTTAGGAATTAAAGACTTTCAGACAAGTGGGTCAAGTCTGCCCAAATGCCTAAAGGAACCGTACTTGAGATCAGAAAGAATAACGGGTTCGGGGTCGGATGAATTCAACATATTTTTCCTGCTTTGGATTTCAGGATTAATCTAGCCCCGCCATTCTCCAGCGAAGCTCTGGCGAGGGGTAAACAAGACGAAAGTACGGATAAATGTCATGGATACGAAGAAAGGTTTGATTGTCGATCTAACTTCCATTTTCAGTGAAAATGTGTGATACAGAGACTCAAAGATGGATCCAACCGGGATTTCTGTCGGCCAGCTGTCAAAGGGCTCCACCAGATCTGCTAATATGCATTTTATTCATTACAACTGTCCTCGAGACAATCTCCCGATTAGTCCACAAACAAATAAATAGGCCACACGATGCCATTTAAGTCCCCTTACACTACCATCCTAAAAGGTTTTCTCATCCAGAAGGAGCTACAGTTTCATCATCGTCGTCGTCGTCATCGTGGCCGTCATCATTATCATAATCATTGGCATCATCATCAGCCTCAGCGTTGTTATCATTTGCACCAATACCTCCGAGAGGACTAAAATCCGGACAGTGCGCATCAAGACTGAGTGTATGAGACGTATTCACCCTTCTACATTAAGAGAGTTAAATGTGCCAGTTGGTCACAAACGGAGCAGATGTGATTTTCAAGGCTTATTTACAATGGAGTTGTTGTCGTTGCGGCAATTTATCTTTACGAGTGCACTACTTAATTTTTATATGAGTAGTCTTCGAGATAATAAATAATTTGTGAATAAAAACTTTATTTATTAGAATAGCAAACTTGTGTTTTACTCATCGACACTCCCATTACACACGATAATCGAGAGAGACTTGGCTGGCCGCGAAGGTAGTAACCGTTTTATTTGCCACCCGGTAGCACTCGTTTCGCTGTTCCTGACTGGTAACCTGTCAGGTTGGAATCCCGCCGGGAGTGCTGATAAAATGATGAAACAAGCTGGGGACAGCAGTCCACACAGACGGAGATAGCCTGAATGAAGTACTCTTTTCCCTCCAAAGCACCTTCAATTTTCACATTCAGCGAATATGAACTCACTTAGTCTTGATCAATTAAGGCGAGTTAGAGACTAGTTTTCTTTCAAAATCAGATGAGAAAGCCTCAGGATGACATAGAACTTCACCTCTTCTTGTCCACCAAAAGTGATTTCCATTTCAGCCTGGCCGGACTGCATGATCGACATGTCTGTGTTTTATCAGCCTCCCAGAGGAGAATCGAAATCGGGCCGAGTGTCGTACTTTCACACATTCAACAACCATTACTGTCTTATCACCTTGAATAAAAAGTGTGAATTTACTGGTATTCTCGAAAATCTATTTTATAAACAAAGAATTACGTCTCACTGCCACAAATACCGATGGGTCAACTTGTTTTTACTATTACAAGCAACTTGTGATCA